CCATTTTGTTCTTTCAACCACGTTGAAAGATTTCAGCTCTCTTCAGCAGCGCCCCTTTGAAGATCTGCTGTATCATTGTTCTATGAAATCTGACTGTGGTAATTGTGGAGTTTTGACAGTACTCAGGAAAAAGGCTTTCATTCTTCTAAAAGATGCCTGAACACTTTAATAATCCTGCAGAACAGCTTGTAATAGTGAACTCAGAGATTGCTTATAAACTGAAAGCAAACATTAAGACATCAAATGAAGATAAAAGATATATTTACTGATGGACAAGCTATCCATTGGACAGATCTCTGGACGGCAATTAACTGGTGGTTGGCCAGTGTGAAAAGTCAGCGTGAACTAGTTTACTCTCTCAGCAGTGGTTCTAGAGGAAATAGAACTGGAGGAACTGCAGAAATACATTACATGTAATTGGAGAAAAACAGAACTGGAAAAATGGTACCTGCCCTTGAAGATAATCAGGACTAGAAACTCCACAACTTCCAGGGCTTTAAGCATGCTGTAATCTGACTTTGTTAATGCTTGTCTTCCCGAGCAAGATTACACATTATTCCCATCTTTTAGTCAGGTATTGTTAGCCCATCACCTCTCAGTCTCTAAATGACCTTAATTCTTTCACTCGTGTCTCATTTCCCAGAGCTCTGACAGCAACTGTTGCGCTCTTCTGGTTTCTCTCCAGTTAGCATTGCTGTTCAAGACAGACATGAAGGAAAAACGGGATGCAGTACCCCATTTTTCCTGATTCCAAAGAGAACAGCAGCCTGTACGATTCAATTAATGAATCAATCATACATGCTATAGGCCTGTTTCCATTTATTTTTTTATGTTACTTCTGTTTGGCCTTTGCTGCGCTATAACCTCACAATTCTCTTCTACAAAAACAGATAGGTGTTCCCTATCCAGTGTGTGAGCATTCAATTGGTTCTGCCTAAATGTAGTGCCTTGCACTTGTCTACATTGGATTTAATCTTATTTTTTTCTGGACCACTTTATCAGTTTGTCAAGATGTTCTGTTGGCAATAGACATACAGCTATATCACACATCACATTACAGGCGTAACACATTTTTACCCATTTTTTCTAAGGACACAGGACCTATGCAATCACACTGTCACTTCCATCACTTCCTGACAAACAGTTTTTGAACCACTTGGTTAATTCCATCCGAGTATGATGAAAGAGAAAGGTCTCAAAGATTGACTTTAACAGTTGCATGGCAATCAGCAGCTGGGTAGAGGAGAAGCCTGAAACTGTTTCCCTTCTCCGAGGGAAAAGCCTTTGGCCTGAGCACAAGATTCACGCGTGCTGTTCGTCCTGTCAGCTGTCTAATGAGTCCCTGAGCACTTCGGGGCCCATTGCACACACATCGCTCCTGAGGATCAGGCAGAGCACATGCTCTACTTTGCTCTGCTGATAGAACAGGGAGAGGGGAGCACTGCAAGGAGACCTCGTGGAAGAGCCAGGATTACACAAGACGGGTAGGAGCTACAGTTATTGCAGCTGTGGGTGTGTAGGGACCCAGAACACATACGTAGACAAACCCATGCTTCGTTAGTTCTGCCACTCGAGGAAAAACTTATTTTCAGACTCTGGTATGGTGACATTGGGATGCGGATATCCTGTATATTGTCTTTCCCCTGACTGAAGTGGACAACGGCTTACCATAAACAAAGCAGAGGTGTTTTCTAAGCCAATCTGTACAGCTTTAACAAGTGTTTTGCTGTTTGGGGTGGTTTTTTTGGTCTTGGATACCTACTGAAGTTCTAACAGCAGCATCTACTGTACATTGTCTTTCCCTTATCTTCCAAAGGAGAAGAATCAGATTTTCTAAACATAAGTAACTTCCCATGCATTTACAAGGGATTAAGAACTCTTAGCTCTGCATGTTTGAAAACAGATTGCTCCATCACTCTATACCTAGAATAAGAGTGGAAAGCACATGGTTGCGTGCTTCTCTTGTGACCAAATGCAATAAAGTTTAACTAGAAAGAAATATTGACCCACACATGGATAAGCTGAAGTATTTGAAAAAGCATTATTGAACAGCATGCACTTTGTCCATGCACTTTGCAAGCCTTTAAGCAAACATCCTTGTTCAGTTTTTCCTGCCTTTCAGAGTTGCAAAATATAGTCTGTCTTATTTAAAGCAGAAGCTAGAGGCATAGTCTTACTCCAGGAATAAAATACTTCTAATCCTACAGTGATTATTACACCATGCAGTTAACAGCACCCGCAAGCAAAAAAAAAAGAATGTGCGAGTACAGGGGGCAAGAAAATAAGAACTATTACTCTAATACCTGCTATTAGCTTCTCTAGTACTAAGTACTTGAAAAAGATATGAATGCAGAGTACAGCACAATATATTCCTGGAGGACCTGAAAATAGGCCCATCTTGAGGCAGATAAAAAAGCATTATCACCTCCACAGTGCTAGATATAGAAAAGCTAGATCTATTAGTTGCACTCTTCTCTAGCAGAAACAATCTTTACTCTTAATTACTTCAGCTTTTCTTGTAACCTTGTATTGTTTCAAAGGCATGAAAAGCCTACAACTTAGCACTGACCCAGTAATATCTGCTAGTTTTTAATACTAAAAAGCAGTACTAAATTATTATTTTAAATGAGTCTGGAATTGCTTGTTCATTTCTATTACAGAATGTTTGGTTTCTTTATGAAGCTTTACCTGCAATTGTGATCCTTTGTAAACTAAGAGTTTAAATATATGCTTTGCAAAAGTAGTTGTGTAGGAGGCTGTGAAAGAAGCCTCTGTCCAGCAGGAAAGTTGTTAACACTATGACATGAAAAGATGAGATCTTTGACAGTGATCACTGAGGGAACACTCTGCCAACTTATGAGGGAAATGAGCTAACTCTACTAACCTGGGACATATACACCATATATGTTGCAGAAGCAAAGACAGCAGTAACTGTAATATTTTAAAACTACTAGGTATGAACCTACTTACTCTTTTGGAATTTCTAAGAGAGTTTTCTCATTAAAGAAACAGAAAATAGTTTAAATTGAAGGGACTGAGCTCACTCTATCCTTTTCCTTTAACAAGATTCAATTTTCAATCCCTGTATCATCAGTGCTCAGTTTTAGAAAACCCTTTTGAAAATAAAAGCAATTAAATATTCCAGAGCAAAATAATAAAATCTGTAATATGCTATATACATTGCCTTCCACAGTCAGGGTTGATTTCTCAACTACCTAGTAAGCAAAGTAGTGCAACAAGCAAGTAAACAGAGTGGTAGCTATCTTCTATCATTCCACCTTTGGTTGCTGAGCACTGAATTTCACAGGATCTTAGAAAACTCAAAACTTTCCAAAATGTGAACACCTAAGTAAAGGAAAACAGTGAAACCATCAAATGGTAAATTGTGAAGAGCCTTCTTCAGTAAAAAAAAAAGTGTTCTTTATCCATTAAGTATACTACACAATGCCATTCATGATTCTTTTTCTTTATATGTACAGGGGTGGATCAGTTAACTACATTTTCAAGTCAGTATTCTAACACTTTTCTTTGTTTCCAAGTGACAGTGAAGGTGGTAAACATTCCTAAAACTTAAAATTGGTAATCTGAATTTAACATCGACATTTTGGTAGCTCCTATTAAAGCAGCACATCACTTGCCCTAATGCTACCAAGCCTGATACATGCAATATAGCCTGTAGTTTTAACTCACTACATTCTAATTCCCATAAGGGAATAACATGGTAATAAATGTAACTGGGGACAACCCATGAAGGTATTTTTCTAGGAAAACCTCTAGTTCAAAGAGGAATCAGTTCAGGGAAATCCTATTGAATGAGCACAGCATCCTTCCACAGATCGATTCATCACACAAGCATATCCTCAATACATGTAACAAGAAGCAGCCCTGTGTAAAATACTCAAATGAAGTACTTTTCAAGACTAAAACCAGAATATTAGAAGCATCACATTTATTTGTGACCACTCTTATGCCTAGTGTTCTCACCTATAGGTTGCTGCTACAGAAGGTCATAATCTCAAATTCAGTATGGTAAAAAGATGACTGGGAAGGTAAAATCATTTGCTTTCTAATGCTCAGCAAGTAAATACGCAAAACCACTATGTCACCAATGCTGGTCCTGGGCTGAAGTTGTAAGACCACAACTTCACCATCAGCTATTACGTCTTAAGTTACCACTGTGGATGGTAAATAAAAATCAGTTCACTAAAGATAGAGGTATAGGGTCACTGAAAGGCTTTTACTACACTCATTCGCTTCTTCCTCAATGCTATTTGTTTGTGCTTCATGGCTGTTTACATCCCATCACTACAGAAAACCTTTATCTACAGGGTCCATGCTAAATATAGCACACTGAGATGCCCACAAACTGAATAATACAGGACAAATAAGTTTTTATGCAAATTTATTCATTAGCTTCAACAATAGTAATACATAAATCAATACTATGTCCAGCATAAGGTTGTGTAATAAAATAGGCTATTCAGGTAAGATTGATTTCTAGTGCGTACATTTTAAGGGCAGTTTTCATCCAAATTGGACACATTAAAAAAAAATAAATAAATACAAGGCCAAAAATGCTTACTTAATGAAAGTCCTGCTAAGTAAGACTTCAGGCTCCACGTTGCTTCAAAGCACTAATCAGTACAGGTGTCTGTGTACATCTTAGACTTATACACAAATGGGTTGTGCTCAAGCAGCATACATTTTTTGATATCTCAGACCAATACATCCAAGGTTTCCAATTTAGACCTCCTTATTCCTCTTAAAGCTAGCATCCACCTTTCTTCTTTCTCTTTTAGGATTGTCTTGCCTTCCAGCTGTGTACATGCACACATGAATCCTAGCGACATTACGCATACAAAATACAAAGGTTCAGTCCCCTCCCAATACTACTTTTTTGGCTTGAGGTCCAGACTGCACTATCTAGTGGAACTATTTATGAAACAAATTGCTACTCAAGTAAGACTACATAGCTCGGGGCAGAGGGAAGGGGGAAAAAAAAAAAAAAAAAGACTTTGGGAACATGGTATGCTCCCAGCTCTTATTTGTTATGTTTTTGGAGCTCTCTAGACTTCAGGAGTACATCCTCTCTGGGATGTGTGGTGCTTAGTGCTACAACATTAAGCTTTAGGCACACTGGGTTCTGTAGGCCATAGACAGCCCACAGGAAGCTGCATTTTCAGCTTTGTTTCCCTAATGGCCAGTGAGTCCAATATACACAGTGGCATTCAGATGTTCATCAAAGTGCAGTATAGAGGCATTCACTGACATTTGGGCTACCTTTATTTATAGTCAGCAATATTAAAATCTGGTCCCAATTTAGATTAGATACCCATGAGAAAACATATTTGGCAAATCAGAGGTATTTTATTGTCTAGTGTATGTATCACATGCTGTATAGGCTATCGTTTGGGCATATTTATTCTACAAATCTAGATAAGCTTGTTTTATTTGCCTTCTGACTTTTGAATTCTGCTGATGGCAAAATTCCCTTTTCCTTAAGAAGTTATACTCAGGACCGAGTCACAAATTTTAAAACTACTCTAATTTACATATTTTACTTCATTATATCAAAACAAAACCCAAAAGCTTGGTCAAAAGTATAAACACTTATAAACCTAGTGAAAACATCCCTGAGAAACTTTCAGTAACATAGCAGTAATGATTTGGTCCATTAGAGGAGAAAAATTGTTACATCCAGTTATTGAACACTGAGGGCTACAAGTACATTGGTTGTACACTGGATTCCCATTCATTCACTTTCACTCCTTTTACAAAATACTGTATCTGAGACAAAAGCCACTAGAGGTTTTTTACATTCTATTTAGTTTGATATATAACTTCATCATTACAAATTTTCAGATGAATGGCCTAGATTCAGCCCTGATGTAACACCTTTAATGTCAATGGAGTTCACACACTTACATTGCAGGGTTGAAGTCTGGCAACACAGATGACTGTGTGAAGGACAGTACCTAAAATAACAAAACCTTAAAAGTTACAGAGGATACTTTTCACAAGTTGCTGACATATGTTTTTGCATACTACTTATTTTGAAAGCAAAATATTTTACAAAGATTTAAGTTTAGAAGTCATACTGTCATGCCATAGGAAAACTCAGAACACTACCAGGTTCAACACTACTGAGAAAGCAAAGTACATAGAGTAGTTTCCACAAAAGTGCACATACGGATAATGACTATGGAAGTACTGTGTTAGTACATGTGCAGGATTAAAAAAAAGCAAGAAATTCTTGAAAATCAGAGGGATATATCATTCTTCATTGCTCTGAAGTTGCTTAGGAGGGCCACACAGTCCAACATCTCCTTGTTTTAGTGGTATTTTAGAACAAACTAAGTCAAAATTCACCTACATGTAAATCAGATAAATGCGAGTATCCACTTTTTAACTTCTTTTGTGTGGCATACTAATAGTTTTCTAATACATCAGGCTTTAATAGGGTTTCTGAAAACAATAGCATTCAAAAATAAAGCTGCTTGTACTCTGAGGCAAAAACTAAGTTAGCCCTAGACTTTATCTTTCTGTACCAGTACTCCTGACCTTAGCACTTTCTGCTACATCAAACCTGAACAGACCTGTCATTTGCAATTAAAAAAGCCATGCTTTATAATGTTACATCAATAGCTTCTGCTAAAATGAGGCTATGTTTTACTTTATGAAGTGCAAAAAAAGTGTAATACATATCTTGTACCTAGCACTTGTCTAATTTGTAAGGAAACATGCAAAAAAAACTACAAAGGCGTTTCTGTAAAGTTAAACCAAAACAGACAGAATACTAAAAAGATATTTTGAGAAAACATTGGAACTTAAGAGTCTGCTTAAGGAACCCAAGAAGGACATTTATACCAATTTGAGCAGATAGGGGAGCAGAACTCTTTATGGTAAGGGAAAAAAAAGAGAAAAAACCCACAAAACCAAATACTGTGTTTCAAGTTACTTTGAAGCAACTAAAAAAACCCTTTCATTTTGCTCAATGAGCACAAGAATTGTTTAGAATTCATGAACAAATTGAGTATGTACAACCACTAAACAGTATCACTGTGGGAGTCAGTGACAGAAATTCAACATTATTTTTGTGATCAAATACTAGATGCATGACTTGTGGGGATCCTTTGAAACACCACCTGCCAAGATCCAACTACATTGTTCTCTGCCAAACATGAAACATTTTTACAGGGTCACTGTAAGGTGAATTTTAGGTCTCTTGGGACAGCTTCCTCAGACAGCTAAGTTATGCATTCAACTCTAGAGAAACACCTTAGACAGGGTCACAAAAGGCAGCATATGTGTTTAACTGTGACATCTGGGTAGCAAGTTAGTAAGAGAAATGGATCCTTTCAGACAGTAGATGTATTACCAGGTGGTGAACTGTCAGAGACTGCTTTGGGATCAGGAGTGCAACAAACAAAAAGTTGTTTTCCCAAGCTTTTTTGGGCAAATCTGAAGTACATTATGTGGCCCATTGCAACAAAAGATACAGAAATAAGCACCAATAAGCCAAAAGCTTCAGGGTTCGGGGCCAAGATGACCATGATGAAGTGCAGCAAATCAAGAAGATAATTCATGGAGTTTTGGACACCGTTTATGATGCCTCTTTCAGATTCTACCACATTTTCTTGGAGCAACTGTGTGACAGTCAAATCAAAGGACCAAAGGCCTATGGAGAGAAAAAACAGTTATCCATACAACTGGGCTTCTCACGGTAAGCTTTCATTACTGGCACAATTCAATTCACACTTCCAAACACTCACTTCTGCCAAAAATGCACAGGACAAGCTAGCCTCTTGTTGGACTAGAATGGATTTCACACTGACAGTCAAGAGCAATTTATTTTCCCTTTACTAATATTTCCTGAAATAATACATACAGCTTAACACACTAACTTGCCTGTCATATCTTGCTTCAACATGTCTATCAAGTTAACAATGTTTTGCTTACCTGTTCCTTATTTAAATAGCCGTTTTACAGCTATTCACACATGTATTCATGCTAGCTACAATTGCTAAGATTTGCATGATGTTTGCAAAAACAAACACATTTTAAACTATGCAGAATACATAATTTACAACAGTCTCAGTTGACACTAGCTTCATACTGTTCTAGTCCATTAATGATTCAGTTTTAAAAGTTTCTTGTAAGCAAAATTAATACATGTGAATTAAGTATTTTATTCCTCCAAAATTCAGCAAAAGCTGCAGAAATTGAGTACAAAAGTGTTACAAATTAGAATTACTGTTCATTACATTTATGTATTTGACTGCCTGTTCTTGTTGACAGATACTAGTACTACATCAACCAGCAATTCCTCAAAAAATTTAGCTGTCATCCAAATCAAAGTTTCTTCTAAAATTCTTTACTGGTCACAAGTTTAAAGGTTAGACAATTTATTTAATGAATGCATTAATTTAGTAACTGCTAAGTTTGAAGGTTTTCATAGCAGATGTGTTTAGTTCTGTTTCCTATTAACAAATGGTTTTATTTGGTTGTGAAGGAAGATCACTTAGAGACGAGCATTCCAAAAGACAAGTTGCATTCATCTCCAAATGTGGTAACTTTTCTCCTATTAGTGACATATGATATGCAAGAAATTAGTGCTGCAGTCTCTGCAATGGTGACACTGTTGCAAAAATCACTTCATTTTTATGTGAAGTGTAATGAATTAGCCTTAGAAATTATATTAACACTTCAACTGTAGCCTAAAATCCTAAACTCAGATTTGTATTCAGTTGACAGGCACTGTAATTTTTAGAATTAAAAGCAGTCAATAGAACAGATTTTAATAGAGACATAATACTTACCAACTCTAGCAGCAATGACTCCTGCAAACAGGAGACTAACAGAGATTAAAGGCACAGGCTCAGGACTCATCTCTGGGTCGCTGTCAGCAGGAGTAGTAGACCCGTTTAACAAGTTGGGCATTCCAGTTACTAAAACCATTTCAGGCTTATCTTCTGGAGATGCTATAGTAGGTAATGGTTCACTTTCAAACAGCCTGGCACTGATGTCAGCAAATGGGGAAACAGTCAAATCCAGAGGACTTCCAGGCATGAATACAGAGATGGCACATAAGACCAGACAAGCAAATTGAGCAATTCCAGAAATAAGGCCCGTGCGAATCAGGCCACATTTGCGACGAAGCCAAGTGAAAGCTACTGTCCCCATAATTCCAGTGACTGCCGAGGCACCCATCAGGAGGCTTAGCACAGAGCCACTCAAACCCTGAGTGTATGCATAGCCTGTAGTAATACAATCAAAGCCCAGAACAGTCATATACAGAAATGCAAGACCCATGCCTGCAAGAAACACTGGCTGGTTGTAGTATGCAACCCATCCATCACGAAACGTGATGAAAGGTTCAGCAATCCGGGCAGCACAGCTGATTTCCTTCTCCTGTTGGGGCTCAAAGCCAGTTACATCTTTCTCAACAATTAACTGCACTCCTTCAGCAGGTTTCACATCACTCTCTGTAAACAGAAATGTAACTGTTAGATACAGTCCTGCCTGAAAAGTGCAGTGTAAACAGTGTAAATTGTTTGCAGTTAGTTCACTGCTGCAGAAGTGTATCAGTTAAATTCTGCCATCATCCTTCCTCTGATTACTTAAATGTTTTAAAGTGTCCTTAAATCCCATCTGTATAGTAAGATGAAGTAAAGTTTATTCCTATCAATATAAAGTCCTGCTTATTTAATTAAACTGTATTAGTAGGAAGCATAGCCTGCTTCTTTTCAATAGACTTGTGACTGAATGCTCCATTTCCATAAAGAAATTATTAATGAATGCCAATGTTAGTTAGCATTTTAATATAGTGCACTTAAACATACAAGTCTAACCACAGAAAGTAGGGAATACTTAAAACATCTGTCAATATCTCATGTCATGGTAGAAGAACCAAGGCAGAGATGCTTGCTGAAGCCTCCCAAAGCCAAAAGCTTTCAAAACTTGACTTAAAATCTCAGGCTATGCTTTTCTACAGCTCCATTTTCACTCTAACATAGGTGAAAGGCACTTCCACTGGTCACAAACTAAAATCCAAAAAAACCACAGCAGTATTTAGATTAGTAATGTGGATAGAAACTATACGAACATTTGGATGCCCGAGCAGTGTTTTTACCCTGTCAAGTTTGAAAAAGAACTCCACATACAGCAAGACATATGAAGTATTTCTGCAACTTTTCAAAATGCAAGTCTTCTACTGAAATCAGTATACTGCACTAGCAAAGATTAAGAAACATTTCCTACATACTGACATTTGCTAAATGCTTCATTCTTCAGGAGCATTCAAGAGCCAGTTGCAAAGCTATAGAGCCTTCTAAGCTCTTTATCTTGCTGCCCTCCCCTATCTTAGGCTGCCATCAGCCTAGTCCAATAGCTTACTGGACCAGCTATTACCACAATGGATCTGCTGGCTGGGAAGAAGATACATGTCTTCAGCACTTTTAATAGCATCCTCCTATGTCACTATATATTGAGCAAAGAACAGATTGCTAGCTAGCTTTTAGAGAAAAACCAGGAATTTTTTATAATCTTTAAAAAAAACCCCAAACCACAACATGTCGTAGTTGGGAGCCCATAGCTGAGCTTTCAGTAGTATTCACATACTGCTACCTTAAAAACAGGAAAATGTTTGTTTTGTATTCTAGTATCTGACATTTCAAATACCTCATTACAAAAATTCCGTTTCTGAACAATTTTAATTTCTGGTATTAAGACTACCTAAAGTAATGTTTTCAGTAAGTAGTAATCAACTTTAAGGTTGCATATAGTCATAGCCATCTACACTGCAAATTCCAGTTCTTCAGCTTGGCCAAGGAAGCAGAGTAGAGGGTCAAAGTAAATTTTTCTCCACTATTTCCTGCAGCACGTGGCACTCATTGAAGCATGCCAGACTAGAAATATTACCACCTATTTTACAACCTCCTGAAAGCCTGTTAGTACTATGAGTAAGTAGACATGAATTAGCAAGAAGGAGTCCTACACAGGCCGTTTTGCTTGTAGACACTACAGAGCAAAGGGCTTTGTCAGCTTATTAGCTATGGTATAGATGGACATAAGCATTCCTCTTGATCAGCCCTAATAACAGGGCAGACTTACTCTAAAGGATTAATTAAGAGGAGAGAATTCATTCTTTGGCTGCATTTTATGGGATTCCTCAAATAGCTGCACAAAGTATTGTTACTTAGATTACAGTCTCTGGTATCTATATCCAAAACTTGAAACCTCCAAGCTGTGAGTATAAAGCTATATAGCCTCAAAGCAGTGTCTGTAGAAGACAACAGTCAACACTTCAGTTCGACTGATACAGTGAATATACTGTGAATTTGAACAGTTACTTCTGTGTTTTCAGTACCTTTCTTTACATTCAGCTGTTTCAGTTCCGATTCCTCAACTTTTGCACATTTGAGAGCCAGAGTAGGGGTTTTCTGATAAACCTTCCAGAGCAGCAGATATTCCACACACATCGACATCAGGTTCCAGCCAGAAATGAATCCACAGCCAATCATCGGGGAGCCAAATGTCATTATCTGACCAACTGCCATTGGGGCCAAGATATTGGTCAACTGATCAATTCTTCTTATTGTGGCATTCATATCTGTCAGAAATTATTTGATAATATGAAATAATTGCTGAACACTTACAGTGAAATATTCACTAACATAATTGAGGCTTGCACACGTATACACATCAAGCTAAGAAGTCTTGCTCCAGCTGTAACTGGTTCCAGCAGGAGCAGGAGTTAGACTGCTAACCAGAGGCACCTTTAGAGTGTCCCAATGTTTAAGTTTACTGCAACAAACCTAAGTGTTTGTAAGCCAAATCCTACTCCTGCCAGTTTTGCCTGCACAAGGTCTTCCAGGTTTAGCATGCTGGGTTTACAGTGGAAGTGCACTTCTGCAGGTAAAACTGTTAGTCATGAGATCAGATTACCCTTACATCCTAGTGACATTATGGACTCCTAAGCATATATCTGTAACATTCAAACCTAGCATGTACAACTCCAGACATTAATAGGAATCTCATATGGTAGAATTCTTTCCTGTAGAGGTAATTTTAGCATCCACTATCTCCCAATGCTGGACCAGGTATTTCTTGATCTCCTCCATTTACTTATAACTGGTGACCACAGTAGCCACTGCGATAGCAGCAGACATTTGAAATGGCTTTAAATTTCCTTATTGAGTCACGCTGGTTGATGGCAGTTGTAGGCATTCTCAGAACTTACCAAGCAAAGTCCTCACTCCTCTCTGTTCCACACTGATGTATATGGTCGAAACAAGCAGCCCATTCTTAGCATGAATGCATCTTCCATTTACTGGTAGGGGATGTCTCACCCTCCCTATCTTATCTGCTTTAGTGTCATTACACCCACTGGGTTCCTGTAAGTTTCCCATTAATGGTGCCATTATTCCACCCCTAAAAGCTGCTAGATGCTCAATGGTTTTGCACGTCAGGGCTTCATGCTGCTTAGAAGTACATCCCAAACCCATTTCAGAGTCCTCTTATGAAATCAGAGCATTTGAAGGGCAAATGAAACTGTATACCAGTACGAAGCTGCTTTTCTGAATCTGTAGAGAATTATTCATTACCATTCAAAGAAATGTTTAGGTTATTCTAATTAGAATTCAAAGTGAATTAAATGTTAACTATTTGACTGAGGGTTAACTGAGTAAGTTATATACTTGCATAATACTTGTCTTTGGAAATTCCCAGAACTAAGCTTTGGTTTTTGAGTTATTTGAGGAAGGCTAATATTTCCACTCAGGAAAGGTACAAAGTAAAAGTGAGTGGAAAAATTAAACCAAGGACAATGAAGAAGGGAAAGCCAAGACAAGTTTTTACTTTCCTATTTCACTAACTTACTTAACTAAGGCTCCTCTCTGAAGAAAGGTAAGAGTGCAGAGATGGACAACAGTATTTGCTGCAAAGTCAGTGCTGGCAGTTAGTTTTTTAAATTAAGAAATTTCCACAGTGTCCAAGATATATTATGATTAAACACATAGCAACCCTATTCAGCCTGAAAGAGATCCTTTAGATAGATCTGTTGAACTAAGGTGCTTAGTTCAGTGGGGTTTTTTGTTTGTAAATTAAGTTACAAGAGAATTTAGAGTAACCTCTTGCCTGATTTTTCAGTACAGAATTGTACAGAGGTGGTCATACAATTCTGTCTGAGATCATGAAGCAGTACGGAGGCAGGACTGCCTCCCATGCAGCAGTTCTCTGCAGGTGTGGTCTGTACCTTATCTCATGTGTAGTTAAGTAGTACATGGACTGGGGAGATGATTTGCTGAATAAGATTACCACAAGAAGAAAGGTTAATGAGAAACATTCGAACTTTAAGGCTTTTACGGATAGATGGTATTTTTCTCCTTGTGATTCACACACAAAGAAAGTTAACCTGTACTGCTGCTCTACAAAAGGCATGACCTAAAAAGGCACTGCAAGGTCAAAACAAAAGACTATGGTGGAAAATGAAAGTGGAAAATGAAAGCAAAACACTTCTCATGCCTGTAATTAAGAACTAGCCTCTCCTGGATGAGATGGGGAAATAAGATTCCTTCACTGGAGATAAACATCAAGAATAAATCTGCAACACAGGATTCAAATCCCTACAAGGACTCTGGCATGTAACTGAACTTTATGGGCAATTTAGGCAGCTTCGTATAAAATTAAGAGTCCAGAAGCTGCCACGCTGCTTAGGCCTGGAGGTATCTAAATTCCACAAGTGTCAGACTTAAAACTTTAGTCCCAGAGTTACTTTAGTGAGCTATAAATGTCTTGGCAATGTTAAGCTGCTCTGTGCCTTGTTTGCACTTCAGTATCAGTTCCTCTATCTGGGACGGCTTAAGTCCCCTTATAGGGTCCATTCAGAGCCCATATAGCCTGCCCAAGTTCATTGCAAAAAATGCTGTTTGCCACACTGTCCATTACAATCAGAGCAGCAGCATAGCCAAAGATCAATCATACGTTCCTTGGTGTGAATGGCCTTGTGGCTAGGAGTACCCCCCAGCAAAGGAGACTCAGGTTCAATGCATCCTTGGGGAGGATCCCAAACAAACTTTCATATCCAAGTAGTGTCATGACTACCAAGCTGCAGTAGAATTTGAATGGGAACTCATTCTCTCTCCTAATAACACCATGCCACTGGGCAAGAAAGGGGAAAAAAAAGAAAAATATTTACTGGGCAAAAAAGAAGGTTAAGTCTGTAGTCTAATATCAAAGGTACAAAGTGTCAAAAGAATAGTTTTCAGTTCCAACTCTAGAAAAGTGTTCACAGCTCTGAGTTAGACATCTAATGCTAGAAAAGTGCAACATTTCCAATGTATCTGCATGCACAGCATTTCCTACTGGCAATTTCCTGATCCACCTACTTTACTGTTCTGGACTTCATTCTCATGTACCTCTTTCTTTGATCCCTATGTGAGGAGCCCAGTTACGCAACAGTTTTCTGTTTCATTCCAGGGACCTAAAAATAAAGTATTGCAACACTTGGCCTGGAAGTCAAATAGCTTTTCTATTAAACACTGGTTATTTGATTTAAGAGTGTGGTGTATGTTTATTTTGTTCAGCAAGAATAAAGTTTTCCTGACAAACCTGCAGTAGGACTAAAAGGAGGACAAAACAAGTTTAGGGATGCCTAACTGAATTGTAATTACACAATCTCAGTGAGCGTAGTCCAAAGCAGGGAAGAGGAAAGTGAAGGTTACCCTTTTTACCTGCTGTTTTCTCATAATATCTGGAACTCAAAGACGTGCTGACCTCTGTAAAACTCTAGTCTAAAAATCAAGCTTGGAAAGTAAGACATTTAAGATATTAAAAAGGCAACATATTTCACCTGCCAGTTTGCTTCTGTCTTCCCCTGCAACCACAACAATCCAGTCCCTCTGAATTGTGATCGCTGTGGCAGTGCTGGCCAAATTGGCAATATTTGCTATAGTGATAACCAGGATATAGCACATCGTCTAGAGAAATGGGGGGAAAGAGTTACAAGGTGAGAAAATTGATGAACGGAGATCTCCACTCCTACCCTGTACAACAAGACACTTCTACACTTGAATCCATACATTTTAGTGTTACTGTTCAGTCAAAACTAGACTAAGTCTACTTTACAATTCCTGACAGAAAACAATCACCTCTGTTTACCCAGCTAGCTCAAAGTTTCATTTGCCAGTTTTAGCTCCCAGGAATGTCTAAACAGACTAGAGAGAAAAATAAAAATTCAGTCTCCCATGCTCCCCAAAGTTTCTTTTTAAGTTAATTCCTTATTAACAAGTTCAAGCACTCACAAGAAGCCATCCATGATATAAGGTCAAAAGCTGTGTCTTAAACAAGAAGATAATCATCAGAATAATACCACACAGGATTACAGATGCATTCTGTACAACCAAGGATGTCTGGGCCACTGTTTCAAATCAAAACAGAGAGCAACAGTTAAGAACATAAGAATGAGCTAAGTATAAGCTTAAGGAGGTTCTAATTAAGGAACATGCACAGATTCTTTAAATATTTTTATTTTTCTATTCTGCCCCCAAAATATAAGTGGTAAAACTATACTTCATATTAGATTTTGAATCTTCCATTGTCTTAAAGAAACAAATTAACGTATGATGTAACTTCACAGATATTAACAATTTAGAGTCCAAGTAGCTCTTTTCTCAATCAAAACCCAAACTGTACCTGTTTAAATGCTGACATTATTTTTAAAGCGGTAAAAACAAAACTTAGCTTGAGTCTCTAAAATTCACCTTCAGCATACCATGGAAGTGATGGTATTTTGTAAACTCTTGGAAAGTAAAACTGTGTATGAAGAACTTGATGCCATGTTATTTATAAACAGACTAGAGCATACATATTTAAAATGTATAATGCAAATGCAGTGAGTGTTTACACTTAAGTGGAAGATGTTTGGATCCAGAGAGAAGACAACAAATAATGCAAGTGTATGTTAGTATTCGACTGTAAAGAACGTGGTCTATAGTCCTTCAAGTTATGTGCTTTTTACCTTTTGCATTTCTGCACATCATTCAGGTTTAGCCTGAGTAGTGGACATATTGTGACATAAAACCGTTTTCCTCCTGTCTTTGACACCATCTCTGTATAATCATTACCACTCTGAAACACTACCCTTCCTTAAAATAACCCCGAGCAAGCCCCGTTCTTGTATTTGACTTGAGGATTTAACTCTATCAGCTTTATCTTTTTACATTAATTTGATGCATTCTTAAGTAAATAACCTGCTCTAGGCATCTAACCTTTGAGCCTGGAGTTCTTGTCCACCCAGTCTCCAATAATGGCTCCCAGGAGAAGAACTGATCCCGCCACAACCAGTCCATAAACTGCAGTCAGGAGTAAGCTGTTTCCATAAAGTTCAACCAGGAATACAGACACAGCAAAATGCCACATACGATCTCCCTTTAAGAGTAACAAAGAGTATATAAACAACATTACTATTTGCACTTTGCAAGCACACAAGTTGACTATTTCACTAACGCCTCAACAAAAGACAGTATTAACATAAAAGTTTGTTACACATGCAGGGGCGGGGAGTGTGTGTGTGGGGGTGTGTTTGGTTTTTTGTTGTGGCTTGGTTTGGTTTTTTTTTTTAAATTTTGGGGTTGGTGTTTTTTCATGACTACATCCTGTCACCATTGATTTTCTCCCACTATCACCAAGATCATCTGTCCAGATCAAGCACAGCATTACAGCTTGTAGTACGACATCAAAAATCCCAGATATTTTCTATTATAATATTACAGGACAAAGTCTGTTACCAGCCACATCCAACAAGCCTCAGAAAGCTTACACAGATTCTCCAGCACAGATCAAGTATTAGCAACAGATTTATTGACTCCTGATACTATTTAAATAACTTTTCAAGACAGCAGTTTGCTCTTAGACGATCAAAGCTTAAATGCTGCTTTAAAACACAAGAGCCAGTCAAGCCAAAGCAAGTCATAATACAATTCAGGATAGACAGGTAGATGATGGGTAAATCAATGAAGCTGGTGTCCTAAATGTTAACTCAAGTTGCTGAAGTCAACAGACTTGTGCATTGGCATATTAGCAAGAGGTAGAATATCAGAGCTCGTTTAACCTATTGCAAACTCATTGCTAGTTCAACTTATTTAGCCTGTTGCTAGTTTAACCTAGTGCTTAGAATACAAAATTTTCATGTTCTGATACCACTTACTACAGGTAAAAAAAAAGAAACCCCAAATGCTAAACATGTCCAAGTGAAGTAATTTTCATATTATTCAAAGCATTTTTAGGTTTGCTACCAAACAGACCTGTGGCTTGCTAATGAATCCATCAAGGGTTTATGTTGTCACATGATGGGAGTTCACATTTCACTTTATTTCTAAACATATTACAAATGTAGTGTATCTGCATGTAGCATGCATCTGCACTACAGAAAATATGCAATCAATAACAAAGCAGATTAATAGAAATAATTCATACTCTTATAGGGCATGCAGTTTGTTTAATAAGGGTCCCTAATATTAGTCTTTAATAAACCAAACATGAAACCATTTTCTTCTGCAGCCTTACCTTAAATAAGCAATTGCTATGTTATACAGTGACTAGCACACATTTCTAAGGGCCTCAAATATTCTGAAGGGCTGGGGGAGGTATAACATAAAAGCACTTTTGAAAAGCAAAGTCTGCCAAATCTAACATACCATAACACAGCAATCAAGAGATACATAAAAAGCATGCTATTTGGAGGGTCAAAATAATTGCAAAGTTTGATTAAAGTCTCCAGTGTAGTATAGATGCACAAAAGGAATTCGCCTTCTAATGTTATTGAAGTTCTCTGAAGGAAATTTCTTCAAACATTGTAATGTTTCAAGATTCATGTTTGTTTCCTTAACCGTAGGCAGAAAAAAATTAGATCCCAATCATGTGGGAAGACAAATTTCACTTGTTCAAGGAAAAGCTCTGGGTATTTTCTATGTTTAAGTAAAACCAATGAAAAAAATGCAAATAGAAGCATGATCAGCTTAGATGTGCCCTCTCATATCTAATAAACCAGTTTTCACTCTCCAGAGACAGCTAAAGTCTCCTGTAAAATATGTTCCACTTTCATTCCATGGTTAGTAGAAGTACATAGAAAGTGTTCTAGAAATGAAAACATGGGGATATAATTTCCCAAGTCAAGCAATCACTTAAACTTCATATGACCTGAGTTACCTCTTTACTGAATTTCACTTAAAATGCATCCAGGTGGATTAACTGTGTTTTGATTATCCTGGGTACCTGTTTATTAAGCTAGAAAAATAATCCAAAAGAGTACTTTCACTTTAAAGTTTCATAACAGAAGTTTGTTGGGTTTTTTTTCCTTTATGCAGAGATGTTTCAGTTACTGAATCCTGACATGATGAAAAAGGCATTTTAAATAAAAAATGGAAGTATGTGGAAGTCTGTGCTAGCCACTACTGTCAGAGCAAAAAACCTGATCTCACTTGAAACTAACAGGAAGATTCCTTTGACTCCAGTGCGATCATCCATTTAAGGAGCCTGTGAACTCTGCTCAACCTTCTCCAACACATTTACCCAGAGATTTTGATCAGGCCAAGCCACACAGATAATTCTGGGGGTAACTAAAGCTGTTCCAAGCTGGAAGCATGAGTTTCTTTCAGGAATTAAAACCCATTAAGAGCAAGCAAAGATAAATTAGTGTCACAGAAGAACAGTATTAGTGAATTACAGAGGTTTGAAGCAGGTATTTAATTTCAAGCTAAGATCTACTGAAATTTAAGCAGTAAATATTGCCTTCAGAAATGGGCAAAGCCTTGAACATAGATATTTAATCCCACTTTAGAACATCTCCAAAGTGTGGATACTTCAACTCTGTCAAGTAAATAACTACAGCCGTTTAGCCTCACCATCCTTTTAAAGATGGTTCTTGCTTTTCTGGCATTATGATTATCCTTATAACCATCTCAGACTGAATGCATACAATCCCATCTCAGAACTGAAGCCAATAAGTCAAGCAGTAGCCAGGCTACTACCTACTGACAGGCCTCCTGAGCTCTGAGTGGCACAGATAAGGCTGGGAAGTTGCAACTGACCTCCTGGCAAGCATTAGGCCTGGCACCAACAAAGTGAACCCAGTTTCATTCTGCTCTTTCTTGACTGCCAAGTGATAGACAGCAATGAATTAAAAAACATAAAGGCAACAGCATAAGGTCTGAGACTCCAGTTCAGCAGTGCAGTCCTGCCTCTTAAGATCACTGAGGCCAAGCACACATTCAAATGCTTTACTGAACAAGAGCCTAAGACATAGTCTAGACTTTGTTCAAATCTGAACATTCGTGGAGATGTGACACATTTAATCATTTACAGCTTCTCTCTGTATTTGGGAATGGCTTAGTAGCACAGAGGCCAAATTCGCGGTCTCAATTACAGCAAAGCCACATTTCTATCAGGTTTTGTATTGCGGACATAGCCATTTTAGAACAAAGATGATTCATTACTTTGAGTTCTGAAGATTAAGGTGCTTGTTTATTGTTCCTGCTAGCAAAAACATTCAGACTACAGGAACACTAAAGCTTAGGAGATATAAAAGGTGCAGTCCTGCACCCAGTTCTGTCAAAATAAGCTGTATTTCTGTTGCATCAGCAGGTTTGGTTGGGGTTTTTTTGAGTCAAGATTTTCAGCACAAAAGAAAACACACTGGAACAAGGAGCATACTATTAATATTGCTAAACAGCTCAATAGACATCTTGCAGTCTAATGGTTGTTACGGTGTGCGACGCTGCTTTCAAACTCTGTCACCTTTACTCACGTACCCTGAGAGCAGTCCCACTGCTGAGTTTTGAAACACTCGTCAGAGAGGAGTAAGCAGGGTTTGCCAAATTGCCAGTTAGGCACTTTGTGGGCATTACTGACAAAAACTGTTGCAGGTAACAACCCTGGCCTCTGAAAAGCAGTGAGCCAAATAGAAACATCACCACTGAGCTCCTTCGATAATATCAATAATTGCTAAAATATTGCACTTGTTTAAACAAGCGTTTGGTACCACCCCAAGCCTTCCCCCATTAACAGAAACATCAGTATGACCTCCCAGGTTAGTGAAAGCGAAGAGCTGCGAAAGTTAGCATGCAACATTGTAACTGTATATCGGCCACTTGTTCACTGCTATACAAAGCACACATTAAACCAGTCCAAATCCAGGACTAAAGACAAAACAGGGAATATTAGGGACGAAACTTTGCACTTGTTTTTGAATCAAGCCAAACAGATGGAGTCTTAAGACTGTGTTATAAGTCACATATATTCTTAATTTTATTATATGGATTAGAACCAGATTGTCTATTTTTAGTGCGTATTTTAAGATTTTTTTAGTATGCTTCAAGCGAGTAAAAACTGGTATAGTAAGTTATGTCAGTACAGAAGGAAAGCATTTCAGAAGGCAAACATTTTGACAGAAAACAAGACACCTCCCGACACTCTCAACATGTTTGCTAGTGAGTGGCAGTAAAAGGTCCATTCTAAACGTTGAGTATTTCCCATTAGTAAGTATACAAGTCCTTCAAATACGTGTTGCAATGGACTGCGTTCCATTCTGCTACGGACTATGTTTCATTTCTTTTGCTCAGAACTTACTCTACGAGGAGCCTCACTGGGTCTGTAGTTACTTGAACAGGCACAGAACCAGGCCCTCAGGAAATTGAGTACCGCACTACCCCGCCGTAATGAAAACTGAACCTACTGCAACATACCACGTAAAGATTACGAAGACCCTTAACAGCGAGGTGCTGTAACGAAACCTCCGTCTTCGTGGTGGCGTGCCATTTTGTGAAGATTTTGGGGGAAGTACCGATAACGCCCAGGCAAGTCACAGCTAGGTTAATAAAGTCCTACTTCTACCAGGCCAGTATCTTACTTACCCAAGTGGACAGCGCATGTCCAAGATAAAGAAGAAACTTTGCAGACATAAAATAGGCAACCACAGATCCTAAACGAGAGACAAGAAACACATGCTAAAGGAGGCTCGGGCACACCCGCCGCGTTTCGGCACACGGCGGGTCCTACCGGCCGCCCCGGAGGAACCCAACACCGCTTCCAGAGCGAAGCCGCCACCGGGACACGCCGCCTCTCGGGGCGGCGGCCACCGCGGCCGGAGCCCGCCGGCCTCGGCGGGGC